CCAACAACATCATCAACATCAACAATAACAACAACAACAGTGCCAACACTGTAGATACCAATGCTACAACCCACAGTGCAAATATCAGTTGCAATTGGAACATCATCAATAGTGACAACCCTAACAACAACATCAACAACACCAACAACAACAACATCAACAACAACAACAACAACAGTGCCAACACTGTAGATACCAACGCCACAACCCACAGCGCAAATATCACTTGCAAATGGAACATCATCACAAGAAGCAAGAAGAACCACAGCGATGATAATAATAATAATAACCTTAACAATAATAATAATAATAATGTTTTTAATTATTGTAAAAATAATATTAATAATATGTAGTTATTTAAATAAATTAATTTGCGCTTCTCGGCTGAGCGTTGATATTTACCTTAACAGCCATAATATAAACAATCTTGCCGTTAAAATTTTAAAAATCGCGTTTTATATTATTTATAGTTATTAAATTTATTTTATTGGTTTTCTGTTTTAATTAAATAATTTATATAAATTAATAATTACTTGTTCCTTCTTATCAAATATCTTACATACCTTATATATAATGCACTGAAGATGAGTTATCTATAACTCGAAATAGCTATTTGCAAATTTATTTAATAAAAATTTTTAAAAAACAATAAAATGTCTAATTTCTCTGAAATTAATAAATTAAATAAAAATATAAAAAAGTTGAACAATGTTGAAGGTAGTGTTGAATTTTTGAAATATATATATATATATATATATATATATATATATATTTAGGAACGAGATTTTCATTAATACATATTTTGTTAAATTTATTTGCCCATTTTGCATTTATCAACTTTTTTATTATGAACTCAACACAGCGTAGTTTTTGACATTCATATTTATTGTGAAATTGTGACATATTAGAAGCTGACAACGTTGTTTCGGCTAAATAGCCATCATCATTGTATACAATCATCTAACACTACCACAGCTAGATTTTCCTCCTAACTTACTCATCGAATTACTTAAGTCGTGTACCGTTGAAAGCTCTTTTCTTGCTCCGGATGGTTTGTTGTATCAGCAGATAGATGGTGTCGCAATGGGCTCTCCGTTAGGCCCTTTGTTTGCTAAATTCTATATGGCTGAACTCGAGGCCAAAATATTCGCTGATTCAACTAATAAACCACTAATATATGCTCGATACGTGGACGACATCTTCATCATTTCCTCAACCGTTACTGATATATATAATCTACAAAACATTTTACAAAATAATTCGCACCTGAAATTCACAATAGAGTTTAGCATTGAAAAAAGACTTTCCTTCCTCGACTGTTTGATAGAACAAAAGGACGAGCAACTAACTACTATGGTATATGTTAAACCTTCCAATTCTGGCCAAGTTTTTAACTATAAATCTGATTGTCCAGACCGATATAAAAATAACGTAGTTTACAATTTCATCCACCGTGCATACAAAATTTCATCAGATAATAATATATTCCATACAGAATTACTTCGCATCAAACAATTCCTTATTAACAACAACTACTCCAATAAAATAGTCGACGATACAATCAAGAAATAGTTACATAAAATCAATAATATAACCAATACAACTCTTCCAACAATAGCAACTAAAACAAAGATTCCGTTATATTACATGAACCAGATGCACGACAACTACAAAGTGGATGAGACCCAACTTAAACGAATCGTTAAATCCAACATCTCCGTCTGCGACAATAACAATCAATTAAAACTCATCATATATTACAATACTAGTCGTACATCAAACCTCGTTATAAGGAATAGTCACAATCAACCAACACCTACGCTAGAGAGGACAAATGTTGTGTACCGGTTTATGTGCCCTATGCCACACAGTGTTGTGGAGAGTTATATCGGTCACACACGTACTACTCTCTCTCGTAGACTTACAATGCATATACAGGATGGTGCAATAAAGAACCATATGGTTTTTTTTTTTTAATCCAAATTTTATTTGACAGAAAAAATAAGTCAGGAGATCAAAAAAGTAACAAACTACTTGTGCAGACCATCTTAACTAATTAAAGTTCGTGTGCAATGTACAAAACACAAAGTAGACAAGTCGTTAAATAGAATTAAACATAATAAAAATATACATATACATACACACACATACACACACACACACACACACATACATATATATAATAACATCTTAAACACCGACGGACATGGACATAACTTCGCTCTTAGCATAATGCTTAAAGTGTTCAATTGTAAGTTGCAATTGGTTATGCATAGCTAAAACGTTCCAAAGTCTAACTCCCTTAGCAACCCAACTTCTATCGTAAGTAGAAGTTCTAACTTTTTTTGACATCAACATACCATGTTGTCTGGTGGCCGATGTGATCTTACAAAAAACATTTAGGTGCTTATAATCGTTATAAGAAAGAATTTTATAAAGAAAAATCAGAAGAATGTAATTGTGTAATTGATCAAACCTAAGAATTTTATGACTTCGGAACAAATGATTGGTGTGATCACGATAACTTAAGGAGAAACACAGGCGTATAAAACTCTTTTGCAGCACAATGATCTTATTGATTAGATATTTACTTGCGGATCCCCAGAAAACATTCCCATACAGCAGATAGGGATATAGAAAAGAATAATATAGCATCATCATTGTTTCAGTATCCAATCTGTTTCTCGCTTTAAATAATATTCCAATAACTTGATACAATTTATTGACTATTTTGTTAACGTGATTGGTCCATTTTAAATCACTTTGAAGTATAACCCCCAAAAATTTTATCGATTGCACTCTTGGGAGCACAGTGCCCTGAATGAACAATTTATTTTTTTCTAGAATTTTGTTATTAGTACTTATTTTAGGGCCAAATATAATATAACATGATTTACTTAAGTTCAATGCCAATTTATTTTTCAAAAACCAATCACAGAATTTTTGGAGCTGACGATTCATTTCTAGGAACAATTCATTTGGGTCTTTTCCCGACAAAAAAATATTGGTGTCGTCGGCGAACAGGATTGTAGTACATTTATCTGATATTGAAAAAATATCATTTACAAAAATTATAAATAATAGGGGGCCGAGTATCGAACCTTGGGGCACCCCTGTTTGAATTTTAAAAGGAGGAGACACTACATTATCAACTGAAACAAACTGACTCCGATCAGATAAATACGACCTGAACCAGTCAAACACAACTCCACTTAAACCGTACATCGACAACTTTTGTAGCAAAATTTCGTGATCAATTACATCAAAAGCCTTTTTTAGGTCAATGAAAACACCCAGGCTAAATTTTTTCTTATCGAAACCCTCCAAGAGAGACAAATGCAACTCGGCAATGGCCTTCTCAGTTGAAGATTTTGGGACAAAACCATACTGATGTCTATTGATCACACTATGCTCAATCAGATAATCCCACATGCGATTGAACATTAGCTTTTCAAAAATCTTGGAAAAAACCGGCAGTATTGAGATTGGACGGTAATTTTCAAAAAGAGTCGGGTCACCACCTTTAAAAACCGGTATTACTTTAGCCATTTTTAAATCATCAGGGAATTTGCCCATTTTAATAGAATCGTTAAATAGTTTTGAGATTTGACTAGCAACATGAAAAACAGTATGTTTGAGGATCTTAGTAGAAAGAAAATCACAATCAAAACTATTTTTCAAATTCAAATTGCCAACGACCGAGACAATCTCATCCGGAGTTGTGTCTCGTGGAATAAATATTGGGTTATTAGAAACCACATATGGACCGACATTTGAAATCAACTGACCATCGCCTAAAATTTTATTGATATTTTTACCTATCTCAACAAAAAATTTATTCAACCCTGTAACGGTGCTCAATTTAGCAGTTTCACTGGCATCATTTGAGAACAATTTATTGCATGATTTTTTTGACCCCAAAATTTCATTAATTATCCTCCATCTGTGTTTTGTTCCAGGTTGATTTTTTAATTTATTTTCAAAATATTTTTTTCCGTGAATCTTTTGACATTTATAAATTTATTTTTAACCTTATTATATGCATTTTTATTTGCAGGGGATGGATTGTGTAGATGCCTTTTGTAAAGAACATTTTTATACAAGGAAAGATTATAAAGATCGATATTCATCCATGGCCTTCGGAAGCGATTTTTTTTATTCACCAATGGCAAAGCTAGATTGATGCAGTTTAAATAAGTCTTTAGGAATTTCTTAAAATTTGATTCAAAATCGGACCCGTAATCAGACATGTTCCACTGGATATTCTGTAATAAACAATTTGCTTTTTTTAGGTTCTCAGAATTAATCAAACGGGTTTTAATGTAAGGGTTTTTTCCACCGACAGCCTTAGCATTCAATGGTATGCAAAGAAAAATAGGTAAATGGTCAGAAACATCGCTGTATAGAATTCCTTTAGGGCAGCCGCCGATGCCATAATTAGTAAAAACATTATCGATCGTTGACGAATGGCTTGATGTTATTCTAGTCGGTTGGTTGATAATTGGATGCAAATTAAATTGAGCCATAAGATTTAAAAACGATAATGACGCCTGGTTTTTTACAGCCAAATCAATGTTAAAATCCCCAAGTATAAAAACATCACTACTGACATCGTCTTTTAAAAGTTCATATAAAAATTCCTGCATTTTAGATAAGAAATTATCCAATTTATAATTTGGTGGCCTATAAATACAAATGATTATATTTTTTTTATTGTCAGAGGCAAATTTAATTCCGACCCATTCAAACAGGTCGGAACTGAGAGAAAAATTACAATTTAAATTTTCGTACGCTAAGTTTTTATCAATTAAAAAACCAGTACCCCCACCCCTTTTACCCACCCTATTTTTTGCAACTAGACTATGGCATGGAAAATACGATAGTATAGGGCCATAGTTAGTGTCATCATTTAGCCATGTTTCACTTAAAGCAACAATTTGAGGGATATTAACATATAATTGAAAACCATTAATCAACAGTGCCAAATCATCAGCATGCGCAGTCAAACTTCTGACATTTATATGCAGTAAAAATAAATTAGAGTTATTGTTAGCTGAAACATTTAAAAAATCGATAAGTTCACAGAAAACAAAATAATGACTAATGTTATTTGGCATATAGTATTCACAATTTACAATAGCATCCACATCATCAAAATTGTTCAACACACATGATCCATCAACATCCAAAACAATTGGCATAGTTCATCCTCATCTGCATCATCCATATCAACGACATCAGAAGCAACACAAACATCATAAGACAGCGCATCACACCAATTCATCGCTCTACCACTATCAGGATTCATATTCATTTCTTGACCATCGGTAATTTCATGATCTTCCATCTTCCTGGAGGACCCCTCACCCTGAACAAAAAATCACCACTTGCTGCCTCTTGTTTTCTAGCCTCGTCCACCAAACTCTTTAGTTCAATTCTTTGATCTTTGGTTAGGTCATGGCTGAGGCTAATATTACCAAATTCATTGTTTAACAGTTTTAGTCTCGAGAGATTGCTCATTATAAGGGCTTTAATTTTTATGTTGTCCATTTTAATCAGCAATGGCCTATTTGAGTTTTCCTTTTTCTTCCCCAATCTTAATATTTTAATGACATCCTTGTCATTTACAGCATCATCTGTCAAATGCTTAAATATTTGAATGATGCGCTTTTTGTCATCACCATGTTCTGACAGTCGGAACAACATAATATTTCTTTCTTTCTCTTTAGCCTCAGATGCCTCGACCAGTGTCTTCTGCACATTTTTGAACTCAACGCTGACTGCTTCCTTCGTCTCGATCATCTCCTTTTTTAACGCTTGGAAACAGTCGTTTATCACCTCATCATTTAACTTCACAACATTTGTAGTCACAACATCTTTTAGAGTATCTGCATAAGATTTTTTAAGATTTTCCTGCAGCACCACAATCCTGTCATCAATACTTTCGTTATCATCTCTGCTGTCAAGTTTGTTTTGAACAATCTTTACCTGATTACTGAGTGAGACGTTGCTTTCTTGCAACTTTCTTATCTCCTCTGTCAACTCACTTAGTTGTTTATTCGATCTAAACATGTCAATATGTTCAAGGCAGTTTTTACATATCCAGACGAAATTAACAGCCTGCAGGAGTTCTTTTGTTGTTGGTTCAGTTACTCCACTACATTTCCAATGCATAGTCACTGAACTACATAATTTACATTGTAACGAATCCTTTAAAGTCGCATTTCCATTGCAACTCTGACATTTATTTCTGCCTGCCATCAATTAAAACAACTCAAAACGTAAACACTGGACATGCAAATTTAAACTGCACTTATGTTCGACTTTAACGTTAGTATCAGTCTACAATCAGAACAAATTTCACAACTCTTAGGAGTGTATGTACAGAACTATAAACAGCGAATTGTTGGCATTTTCCAAAAAATTCACTTAGGTACTTGAAATAAAAGAAAAAAACAGACAACTAAATAACGTTTTAATTATTTGACCACAATACTTTTAAAAAAAATAAAAACACGCGCTTTCAACAACAAAACAACGATACTAGTGAACACCATATGCCTCTCACCAGGACCATTTTGGATTCGAATACTACGATACTTGACACTGAAATGCATCCTGGTCGACTTAAAATCCGTGAAGCCCTGTATATCAACAAACATAAACCCACTTTAAACAAGCAATCAAGCAGTTTCGACCACATCCTACAACTATTTTCTCAATACCGGGATCAGGCTCTACTGTGTAACGTTGTACGTGAGCAACCGTACTTGCCTCTATCACCAAGATATGAATATCATTAGCAGGCAGACAGCTTTCTACCGGTCAATACACAATTTATAAGTGTACGTCGGAAATCTACTACACTTACACCTTTAACTACTCTATTACAGTCTTAATTCAATTCCCATTACATAATTCATAGTACATTTATCGTATTTCATTTTATTTACTAACTTATTTATTTTAGTTAATTTTATTCCTACATACATTTTATAACCACATAATCTTAGTTATGCATTTAATTTGTGTAGAATATACTTAGCGTTCCATAATATTTCTATACTAGTGATTACACCACATTCATCACACACGTATTGTTTATTTCCTATTCCAACTTTCCAGTTTTATTTTCATTTATTTTACCTTTTATTAATTAGTAACTTTTATTTAATTTCATGTTTTAGTATTAAATTTATCTTTTAGGTTACATCCTTTGCAAGGTACCATTTTAACTTCACTTTCAATTCCAATTTTATTTTTAATATCTTATCTATCATGTCCGCTAAGTAATTTACATAATTCGTTTAATTCTCATTTATTTTAATTAAATTTCTTATATTTCATTGGTTTTAGGCTCTGATGATGGCTACTTAGCCGAAACAACGTTGTCAGCTTCTAATATGTCACAATTTCACAATAAATATGAATGTCAAAAACTACGCTGTGTTGAGTCCATAATAAAAAAGTTGATAAATGCAAAATGGGCAAATAAATTTAACAATATATATATATATATATATATATATATATAAGAAGGTGCCATCAGCCTCACGCCGCACGTATGCGTTCACGAATACGTGCGGCGTATATATATATATATATATATATATATATATATATATATATATATATATATATAAGAAGGTGCCATCAGCCGCACGTATGCGTTCACGAACAGCGGCATCAGCTGTTCCAGTACAATCTTTCAGTACAATCCAGCATATCTCCCAAATGCTGAAATGAAGTAACTGTTTTGAACCCGGTAATCGTTTCATTATATGGGCTCCGTTGTCGCAGGTTGATGCAGGCGGGGCATACTTAATCAGTCACTTTCCTCAGTGAGCCGGTAATTCTCGAGCATCGTCTGTGACACTACTGACATTGCAGGCATTTGTCTTTAAATTGTTCAGACAGCACAATAAAATCATTTGTAAACCGGGCATTCACACACTCTTCCGATATTGAAAATCGCGACGCTGAATTAAAAAGAGTCACTAACCTGCTTGTAAACAATGGATATAAGACTTACTCTATTGAAAAGATTGTTAAAGGCAAATTACTACACAGCAATAACCTACCTAGTACCAACAATCAAGATAACGACATCATTTTGTATTACAGAAATCACATGTCAACTGCATACAAGGTAGATGAAGCTATTCTTAAACATATCATCAATAAAAATGTCACACCAACCAACCCAAATAGTAAAGTTAAACTCCGAATTTATTACAACAATAAAATGACCTAGAGATAACTCTGAGTTAAAGCGTATTCACGTAATATAATGTTATAATATTCGCTGTCGTAACCGATTTACGATGCGACGGGTTCAAATCTTCGATTGAATAAAATACTCCAAAACAGTTATTATTTATTAAACTTTATTTACAGAAGAAATCAACTAATCGTTTATTTCTAGCAAATTCAAATTAACGCAACAATTAACTTTTAAATTGTTCAAAATCTATCGCTATGACAACGTCAACAAACAAATCAAATATCGCTTTAAATAATTCACCGAATCGCTATTCACAAAATCACGAATTTCACTAATCGCTAATCTTCTTGCGACGTGCGCTTATATACTCTTCGCAAGCGTCGTTTCTAGATTCTTCTAGATGGTCCGATTCTAGCATACTCTAGAATGCTCCAGTCACTAGAACATTCTAGAATACGCTAGAATCTAGTGCGTTCGGTAGCACGGTTATAACATTACCCCTTCTTAGTTCTGTTCGTCCCGAACAGCTTTCGTTCCGGTGTCCGCATGGTACGGGGCTAGTCTATCCAAATGAACGATCTTCATTCTTGCTCTCGGCTTCCGATATTCCTGAATACGGTAGACGACGTCATTCAAGCGGGTGATGACTTGATAAGGTCCTTCCCACCCTCGCTGGAGCTTTGGAGAACGTCCTTTCTTTCGCTGTGGGTTGTACAGCCAAACTAACTCGTCGACAGCAAAACCGCCACTGCTTCCTTTCAAGTCTGGTTTTGGCCGCCTCCGTGTTTTTCATAATTTTAAGGCGTACGTAACGGTGGATATGGTTTAATCGCTGTCGAAGATTATTCACGTATTCTGTTAATGGTTGGTGTGGTTCAGGTGGTACGCCATATTTCACATCAGCTGGAGTTTTTAAGGGCGTCCCAAACAGAACTTTTGATGGCGTTTCTCCAGTAGTTGTGTAGATAGCACTCCAGTATGCCATAAGAAACAATGGTATATGACGATCCCAATCCCGTTCATTTTCGTCGACTACTTTAGCCAGATGTTCAATCAGGGTTTGGTTGAATCGTTCCACCATACCGTCAGACTGTGGGTGAAGAGGTGTCGTTCGAGTTTTGTTTATACCCAGCAGCTTGCACATTTCGACCTTGATCTGAGTGGAGTTCCAATGGGACACCATATCGACTAATCCAATTGAGTACAATTTCCTCAGCGACGGTACATGCTTCCTGGTTGGGTATTGGAAACACCTCAGGCCATTTGCTAAAATAGTCCGCTACAACCAGAATGTAACGGTTTCCATAATCTGATACCGAAAGGGTCTAGCAATATCTATAGCAATCCGTTCAAAGGGGACACCAACATTGTAGATTTGCATTGCTCCTTTTAGCCTTCTTTTGGGTCCTTTGACTGAAGCGCATGTGTTACATTTTCGACACCAGCTCTCTACACCTTCTCTAACGTGAAGCCAGTAGAATCCTTCTCGTATTTTGTCAAGGGTCTTGTTCACTCCTAAATGTCCCCCAGAAGGGCCGCCATGCATTTCATCAAGGATTTCGGTCGTTCTACTTCTTGGTATTACAACTTGCATGCGGTGTTTTGATCCATCAGCTGATTCCCATTTTCGTTTCAGCAAATCCCCTTCCAAATACAATGAGTCCCACTGAGCCCAATAACCCTTTAACACGGCACTATATTCTGAGATGCTTTGCCAGTCCGGTCGCTTGCTCTCCTTCTTCCATTTGATCAGATGTTGTAGGTCCTCATCCGCAAACTGTGCATCAGCAAGATCCGTCGGTGTCCAACCGTCATCCGCTGATATTGTTGTTGCTCTTATGTCTTCCGATTGTATCTTCTCCTCGTGACGACAGCAATATTTGCATCCTGGTAAACATGATCGACGGGAGAGAGCAATCAGCACTACTATGAGTTGTTCCTTTGCGGTGCACGATCTCGAAGTCGTACATTTGTAAACGTTCCAACCATCGGGCCATCTGTCCTTCAAGATCCTTGAAGTTGAGGAGCCATCTTAACGCTGCATGATCAGTTCGGAGAAGAAATTTCTGTCCATAAAGGTACTTGTGGAAGTGTTTTGTTGCATTGACTATTGCTAGTAACTCCTTCCTGGTCACACAATAGTTTCGTTCGGGCTTTGTGAATCCTCTGCTATAATACGCTAGCACCTTTTCTTCTCCGTCTATATGCTGTGACAAAACGGCTCCGATTCCGTTGTTACTTGCATCAGTATCTAACACAAACGTCTTGCCACGAACTGGATATGCTAGCAAAGGAGCATCACATAGTTCAACTTTTAACTTTTCAAATGCTGAGTCGCATAGGGTATTCCAGTTGAAAACTCGGTCCTTCTCGGTAAGTTGGTGGAGAAGTCTGGCAACTTTTGCAAAATCCTTTACAAAACGTCGATAGTACGTTGCCAATCCCAGAAAACTGCGCAATTCATTTTTATCCTTTGGAGTTGGCCAGTCTTTCACAATTTCTATCTTGCTGGGATCGGTTCGAACTCCATCTGAAGATACCACATGTCCCAAATAGTTAACTTCTTTAGAAAATAACCTGCACTTTTTAACGTTCAGCTTTAAATTTGCCACCCGATGTCTTGTGAAGATCTCCCGTAAGTTTTCGACGTGTTGATCAAATGTTCTTCCTAGAACAATTATGTCGTCTAAATAGACAAGACATGTTTTCCAGTTAAGACCTTGCAATACACATTCCATCAGTCGCTCGAATGTAGCTGGAGCATTGCACAATCCAAATGGCATGACGGTGAATTGCCACAACCCCGATCCAATAGAAAACGCTGTCTTTTCGCGATCGTTCTTGTCGATTTCTACTTGCCAGTATCCGCTTTTCAAATCAAGCGTAGAGAACCAACTTGAGCCAGATAGGGTGTCCATGATGTCATCAATCCTCGGTAACGGATAGCTGTCCTTTTTAGTCACATCATTTAACTTCCTATAATCAACGCAAAAACGGGTAGTGCCGTCCTTCTTCTTTACCAAAACAACTGGCGAAATCCAGGGACTTGATGACGGTTCGATGACGCCTTGATTCTGCATTGTCGTTATCATTTCGTTTACTTCTGTTTGTTTTGCTAGAGGAAGACGTCGTGGTACTTGTCAGATTGGTTTCGAATCCTGAGTATCAATTCGGTGAGTTACCAGAGCTGTTTTACCTTGGTCATTGTCACCGGTTGAAAACACGTCTGCAAACTCAGCAATCAACGCCTCGGCTTTTAGACGGTCTTCTTGATACAAATTGAGTTCATCCAGTAGATTTTTGGTAAGTTCTTTGAGTCTACCTTTGTCAGTTGGTAGAACCTTTTCATGTTGCTCCATATCTAATGATTTCACCAAATTTATTGATTGGCAATTACCTATTTCCTCGCCTTTTTTAATTTTAATAGCGTGTTTAGCGGTATTCATTATTCTGACAGGAATAAGACCATTTTTGTTCGCTTCTAAAACACATTTTCCAATGACCGCGTTCTGTACATTTGTCGTTGAGGTTGGCTCCATCAAATAGAACTGGTGGCCCCCAGGATCGCAATTCAACTTGCCCCATACGATGTTTTCAGATGATTGAGGTAGTTCTATGTCACAATCGACTGTCACTCGAATGCATTTTTTGTCGCTATCCCCCATTATCACTTTTCTATTTCTCCATCTAAGAATGCGTTTTTCTAAGTCAATTTTGAACCCATATTTTGTCAGAAAGTCGACACCTATTATGCATTCGTCGATGATATCCGCGAGTAAGAATGAACCTTCGAATAACAAGTCGCCTAGCTGAACAGTACGGAGAATCTTTCCATAGACTGGTATTGTTCCTCCGGTAGCTGTTCGAAAGATTTATTTGTTAGAAGTCTCTTTCTTCAGATTGGGTACCAAATCAGATCTTAAAATCGATTTTGTTGCTCCGGTGTCGACTGTAATTACGCATTCTCGTTGATCAACTTTTCCGTTCAGCCATAGGTCATAACCTCTGCCCCACAAAGATACGGGATCATCTTCTCTTCTTTTGCGCCATCTTGTCGCGCAATTTCGGCAGTAGTTATCTTTTAGGCGGTGTTTACAATTACGACGTAGATGGCCTTTTTCACCACAAATCCAGCATTGGGGTACACCATGCTGTTGGGGTTCGCGTTTCACAACCACCTTCTGGCAAGAGCATTCTTCATGTACTTGGCGTAGATGTACGTCACTTTTTGATGCTTGCTTTGCCGATTCAAAAGTGAGACTGTGCGCAACGGCATCCTTGAGTTTTCGTTTATCTGACAAGAGAAGGGATTGCTTGAGTTCCGAATCACGAAGGGCTTTGATAAACGTATCCAGGGCAGTTTCGTCTCTATGCTCGGGGTCTGATGTCGGATACGACAGCAATGTCAACCGTTCGATATCTTGTGCCAGCTGCTGAATGGATTCGCCAGATCGTTGCGTTCTGTTTCTAAGTTGAGACCGATAAATCTGCTTCATGTGTTCTTCACCATAACGTAAATCCAACGCGCTAACCAGAACTTCATAGTTGAAGTGGTTCTCCGCCGGAATTGTCTGAAGAACCTCTGCTGCTGAACCTCGCAGGGCCAGTATCAGTGCTGTTGCTCGTTCTTTTCCGTTCCAACAGTTACTAGTTGCCGCTGCTTCGAACTGGGTTTTATAAACGTTCCAGGACATCTCTCCGTCAAATGCTGGTACCTTCAAAGTTCTTCCGGATGCGTGATCTAACGACATCGTTTTTGGATTTTTTTTTGGATTGCACCAATTCTCGCTTCAATTTGTCTATCTTGTGATCTACCTCAACGGTCTGACGATCAAGTTTCTGTTCGATCATTTCTATTCTTGTTGACTGTTCTTCAATCTGTTCTGCCACTTCCAATTTTACGTGTTTAGCTGGTCCTTGATTTGTTTTAACTCCTCTGTATTTTGTTCGGACTGTTCCTTGATCTGTTGTTTTAACTCTTCTGTCTGTCGTTTGGACTGTCGTTCGGACTGTTCTTTGATCTGTTTTAACTTCTTTGTCTGTCGTTCGGACTGTCGTTCGGACTGTTCTTTGATCTGTTTTAACTCCTCTGTCCGTCGTTCGGACTGTTGTTCGGACTGTTCTTTGATCTGTTTTAAATCCTCTGTCTGTCGTTCGGACTGTTCCTTGATCTGTTTTAACTCTTCTGTCTGTCGCTCGGACTGTCGTTCGGACTGTTCTTTGATCTGTTTCATTTCAGTTGACATACTAAGCAGAAGTTCCATCATTTTAGCGGTTGTAAACGTGCCTGTGCTAATTTCATTGTCTTCGTCAGCACCATCAAACTTGAATTCGTCTGGGTTCTTACCTTCGTCAATGAGAGCTTCTCTCAGACGTGCTGCTAGTACTTCTTTGTTGCCACTTGTGACAAGGCTTCGTTTCTGTAGTTCTTCTCGTAGCTGAATTACGTTCAAACCACACAGTTTTGACATCGTGTTCTTTTTCTATGAGTAGTAATTTGCTGGTCGAAGATCCCACTTCTGACACCAATGTTATAATATTCGCTGTCGTAACCGATTTACGACGCGACGGGTTCAAATCTTCGGTTGAATAAAATACTCCAAAACAGTTATTAGTTATTAAACTTTATTTACAGAAGAAATCAACTAATCGTTTGTTTCTAGCAAATTCAAATTAACGCAACAATTAACTTTTAAATTGTTCAAAATCTATCGCTATGACAACGTCAACAAACAAATCAAATATCGCTTTAAATAATTCACCGAATCGCTATTCACAAAATCACGAATTTCACTAATCGCTAATCTTCTTGCGACGTGCGCTTATATACTCTTCGCAAGCGTCGTTTCTAGATTCTTCTAGATGGTCCGATTCTAGCATACTCTAGAATGCTCCAGTCACTAGAACATTCTAGAATACGCTAGAATCTAGTGCGTTCGGTAGCACGGTTATAACAATAAGAATTTAATTGCCCCTTTGACGGCTGTGCACGTCAACATGACTCATATATCGGGATTACTACTACCTCACTGACTAGAAGGCTTACGATGCATAAACAGAGTGGTGCTATCAAATATCATTTGGACTCAACACACTCAATCACAATTAGCCGTGAAATCCTCGACAGCAACACTAAAGTAATATACCAGAACAGCAACTACACGCATCTTAAAGTTGCAGAAGCAGTCCTAATTGACATCAATAAACCAAAAATAAATATACAACAAAAATGACAACTTCACTCTCAACTCCAAACTAGCATTGTAAATAATGACAAAGAATATGATGCTATCGATGAAGAAAAGGAAACCAACGAAGATGGACCAGCCATAAAGAAATCTGATACCTAATTCGCATCAAAGTTCAATTTTACAACACCAAAGTTAATTTTTACAACGTCAAAGTTCATCTTGACAAAGTCAATATTTCCCTATATATACATCAAGGAGCACTGATGATGATTCATTCGGAATCGAAATATGGCCTTATTTGCAGCATGAATTCGAAAAATAAGTTTATTTTGAATTTTAATAAACTAAACGTTCACCAAAAAACTTTAGTGAGAAAAATCGAAAAAACGAACTACAGACATATTAACGCCAAACATTCGGTACAATTTATAGAATATTGTAAAAATTATGGTCTATTACCAACATATATATATATATATATATATATATATACACACACATATATATATATATATATATATATATATATATATATATATATATATATATAAAGTCTGAGATGTGAACATAAATATAGCGTTTTTTTTGTGGTAAAGTTGTTTGAGGTTGCGTTTAATTTGCTTAAGTACGTTACTGAAAGTTTTCTTTTCTTGAATTTATGAATTTAGCTTAAAATATCGATTATTTTGTGAATTAAAATTTAATAACAAAAAAGTATCATGACAATTTTTAATTATATTATTTAATTATTTTGTTTAACAGATAAACGACAATTGTTTGAACTGTTTGAAAATGTTTCGTGAAAAAGCGAAACAGAAGTTTGATGAAGCCAAATCTTATAGATTTCATAACCCGTTGTATAACCAAGGTTTATAAGTTGTAAGTCCAAAATATGTGCGTTCGTACATATAATTTATAAAATCATGAATACCGCTGTTAAAAACATACATTTGCATTGTTTTGAACTTTATATTGTGACATTTTTTTAATTAAATAAAATTAAGCAAAAGCCAGTTTTTATTGTCAGGTATTTTTTTTTGATATTTTTTATTCTATCATTGGTATTTTTATTTTATTATTCTTGATATATAAATTTATGGAAAATTGTATTAAAACGTCTGTTTTTGATTTTTATGCTGATAAGCTAATTTTTCTCAATTTTTATCTTTCTATTGAATCGATTTTCTAATCGCTGGCTGAATTATTTTTTTTTTTGGAAAATTTTAACGGCACTGCAGCTCCCAAGATGGTGTTATAATGTGCAAGTAATTTTAATATTTTTTTCTTAATTTTTATTATTTTTTTTTTCATAATTATGTAGTTATTATTATTACATCTTCAAAATCATTCACAGTCGAAAAGGAAGAATCCGATCAAAATATATCAAAGCATCAATCCAGAAAAATAAATAATAATCTTTGACTTAAGTATATTTTAAGAGGTAAGGTTGTAATAGTTTATTCCAGTCTTTTTAAGTTGACGGGTAATTATGAAAACAATTTATCGTAGGCTGGATTAAATAAAGTATTGTTATAACCGACTTCTTGAACTTGTAGGGTTACAGTTATTTCTCTCTACGTGGATTCTTGACTCCTGAACAGACTTATTTCTGATGAACTTTATCAGAAAAAAAACTGTGCCGGCAATCACTTGTGTGTATTACTGTGATGAATCACTCGTTTATTCAATCGTTAAAATCATTAGAAAACAGCACAATAAGTCAATAACTAATCGACAGGTAAATTATGGAATACAACCAATCGTCAATAATTAAGCTTCTCTCACCATGCTAATTATTTTGAGTTCTCCTAGCCATGGCGTTCTTTACTGCACTGAGTTTACAGTTACTTCTGTCACCAGTGTGTAATCTCCTGAAGATCATACTTCTAACACTAGTGTTGTAACCTCTTAGACCTCGTAACTACCAACACCGATGTTATAGCTTCAATACTAGCTATATCTCCAACACCATGTTCTAGCTTCCAACCATAATCAAGAGTTCGTTTATTCATAGGTTCAAGATTTCTGATAGATAAACACAACCACTTTAAGCGCAAACTAAGTTGAACGTTTATTTATTTCCAGCACTAATAGAAACAATAAATTAATCCAAATAACTACGTAAATCACATTTACGACTTCTACGTCAACTGTGTTCCGTCTTCTTCTTCGTTGTTCTCTCTCTTCCTCTCGAATCTCGCTTCTACCGAAGCTGCCGATCTGCTTGTAAATGTGTCATATCGCAGTGTCACATCCATAAATGATTTTACAACCATTTTAATTACTTCATACCTAATTTATTTACAGCTGTTCATTTCTCAGTGCATGCTTAACAATTTCTAACTATTAGTTTTTATCTCGATTTCCCATCTGTAACAGTATTATATAACATTGAACACAAAGGCAAAACAATAAGTTTACTGGGCCAAACAAGTTTACACGGTGTTACCACTCATATATTAATGGGGGATGTGTTAAAACTGTAGTAGATTTGGAGTTTTCATATCTTCGGTTAAGACGTTTTGCATTATCAATTATTATTATTATCGTTGTTGTTATTATATTTAGTGTTTTCAGCTTTCAAAGCTGGTTGACGATGAATCTGGGGCTCAACCAGATCCCAAAGAGATTCACCAAAGAATTTTCATAGAATGCCTGCTCTATCCAGTAATGAAACTTTCTGAATGTAATTCAGCGCTTGTTTTCCAGGCAATCCATAGCGTGATATCCAGGACGTTCGAGAAGCGTCGGTAAGACGGGTGTATAATGACATGCGAGATATTGAATAGGGTTGTTGAATATTTGATATTGGAAAGCGATTGATTTTATTGGTGTCGAAAGCGATATTTGACTGCGTTGCATTTTTATCGTGTTTGCGATATTTGACTGCGTTGCATTTTTATCGTGTTTGCGATAAGCGTTAGTGAACTGTTACATGGAAAGTAATACTTTCTGAACGTTAATTTGACAATTTGTGAATATTAACTTTTATTAGTGAAATTAATTAATGTTGATTATTGATTGATTAATTAATTATTGTTTTGTATATAAATAAATCGATAATTTGGAAGTTGTATCGTCTTCATTTTTCACTGGGATTAAACGAAACTCGTCGTCGACCGGGACAGTTGTAACATTGGTGCCAGAAGTGGGATCTTTGGTGAAAAATAAGCGAGCATCGTTGTTGAAAATTTTTATTTTTTCTCTCATCGACAAGTTATTTTGTAAAAAAAAACAATCAGCAGAAATAAAGCAGACGATGGATCAAATTGATGCAAAAATTGAACAACGATCAGCGGAAATAAAACAGACGAGAGATCAAATTGACGTCAAAATCACCTGAATGACCTGACGGATAGCTTTGGTGCACGATGTTAGATTCGTCGTTGACATAATTCCTGTCGATCAGAGATGCAGCGATGAAAAATTCATCCTCATCAGCAATGAAGCCGTCGCTGATGTCATCATCTAGGTACACAAAGACCAAGCTTTTATTTCACACGCGTGTTGGAAGGATTTTCTCAAAGCATGAAACATCATCTGTCACCAATTCTTGTCCTGAATGATTATTCGCATTAACATTTGAATCATCTTCACTGAATCGTTTATCTCCAGATTAATGCTTTTTCAGATTAACGTCTTATCCAAATCATCATCAAAAGTTAACTCGTTGGTGAGAGTTGCATTGAAATCGCTGTTGTTATAAATGTTAATGCTGTCGTTGTTATTGATGAAAACAGGTGAGTTATTAGCGGTAAGATCCAAGAAATATTCAAACTTCATATCAAAAGTTTCAGTGTCTTTATCACTGACAACTTCGCCAATATTTTCAAAAACTGCCTTTTCGTCATCATTTTTATTCATTGAATTACGATTGTAGTGAACATTAAAAATAGGAACAGGTGAGTTGCTGGCAGAATGATCCGATTAGTAGTCCCATAGCATATCAAAAGTTTCTTTGTCGTAGCCAACTTCTCCAATATTTTTAAAACTTTCATTTTCGTCCTCGCCATCATCTTCATCACTACAATAATTATCTTTCCCCATGTTAACACGTGCGTCGCAGTTATCACGTGCATCGTAGTTGTCACGTGCATCGCAGTCAAAATCATCCGTAGGAAGGATTGATTAACGATCGCTAATGTCATTGTTCGTAGATGAATAAGCTGGTAAGATGATGTCAGAATTTTGTACAGCTGTTTCTTATAGCTGTTTTGATTGTCTATTCATTGAGTGATGTTCTTCCGTTGGGTTAGTAATTTGGCTCCTTTTTCCTGTTTCGGCTATCAATTTTTGTTTGTTTTGGCTATCAGTTCTTCCCCAGGATCCGGAAAATCACACTTCTCAGGATCGTTGCCTTCGTTTAATAGAGCGTCCCTAAGTTTGAATTAACATTTTCGAAATCAACGTCTTCATTTTGAAAATTTTGGCTCCCCGCCAAAGTTGTCTTATTCCCCATTGTCTATGTTTTTCATTTATCATCATTTACCATCATGGTGTGGCTCCATGTATCTTAAACTAAATTGTAAGTTTGAATTAATTCCTTCAACTTACCTGATTCTGAAATTCTTGATTTTTCTTATAAGTTTTGTAGCCTAGGCTTTATTTTTAATTTTAGCATGTCTCTTTCGTCTCAGATTGATAGTGTTACTAAAAGTTTGTGAATTTTTGCCGCGCGGCTGAATTTCTTCTCTGTTCGAATATCAGCAAACATCACCACCAGCCTAGGCAGTTTCGCTTTTGACCGGGACACGCCTCCTCACAAATTTTTATCTCCGGGTCGGAAAACACGGGCCGGCGGAAGTGCTTTCGCGCCCTGCTTGCCAGTCGGTCAATCCGGCCTTACTGACCGCTGACAAGTCTTCTTTGTACATGTTTTACATATTGAGCAAGACAAATAAAAGATAACTGAAGGAAATTTATTACAAACCAGAACGAAAACAAACTTACTTTGCAAAATAAATGTTTTCCAAATGTTCCAAACTGAATAATAATTTAAATTAAAACAGCAACAGAACACAGTAACTAAATTCAGAAAAATAAACCAACAGAGCAATATCACCAAATACCAAAATAAATGACCAACACCTAACACGCCAGGAACCGAACTACCACCAAAAACTACACCAACCACTCTACCAAAAACTAACTCGAAAACTAACTTCGAAAAACCAACTGTCTGACCCTAAAAAACAATTGTCCAAAATACTTATATATTAATTCCCACGAGCAACCATATACAATCAAATATACTCACTATACTCTCGTCATACTATTCACATAAAACTCATTCACATAACGTTTTACCAGCATGCATACAAAACCAGTTTATACAACGTTTTACCAGCATTCATATCAGACCAATCCATACAACAAGCGCGCCAAACCAACCAACACACATACATGAAATATTCATTCATAACCGCGTCCCAAAAAACTTCACAAGTTCATACATTCATCCACTTAGAATAAAAAAACTGTAAAATTTGCTGCTGATCATTGTAAAAATGGCGCTTTATAAACTATTTGATTAAGTAAATAATTTTCATGGCCTGGTATAGCCACGCTGATTTGATATCGTCATCATTGATAGGCCTCTCCTTGGTTATCATCAACAATAAATTTCATTGTATTATTTGGCCTTTTAGTATTACCTTAAGTCATCTTGGTTTTTTGACTAATAGTAGTGTTCGGATCGGTCTGTTTTTTTCCCATAGGTTTTTATTCTGTGCGACGTATTTCTATGTTTCTCGAAGCACTAAATAAGGTTTCCTCACCAGTTGTAATGTAATCAATTGTATTGCAAACGATAGTTTAAAATTTAAATATCACATTTATTAATTATAGATAAAATAATAATACGACTAATTCTAATAGCAGGTGATATAATATTATGATATTATATGTAATAGGTAAATAATGCGGTGGTGATGGTCGGGTCAGGGTTCTGTTGATTCTTAAATTCGTTCGAAGTGTTTAAAATTTATCAAAGCGTTTTGCTGTGAGGCACACAATATGTTAAGTTAAGATTGAGCTATTCTGCTGTTGTCTGAGCATGAGCTTGCTCACAAATTGTTTAATTATGATAATTGTAATTAATAATTTCGCATCCATAATATGATGAATAGAGGCTAGGAAAAAGCTTCCCCATTATTGATTAATGTGACCATTGTTAGCAGTTAAATAAAATGAAAGATAATTTATATTTTATTTATTTATTTTATTATTATTAAGAGAAAACTTAATAATAGAGCATTCGTTATAGCAGTTTTCACAAACGCTATCTAATTATAACTAATATTGATAACAAAATAGCAAGAATGAAAAGAATGTATTAATACAAATATTAATAATTTATTTGATTTTGCTTTTCATTTAAATAAATCATGTGTATGAAAGTGCACTGAAATTAAATAGAAAGAAAATTAGCAATGTTGAATTGCAAATAAATGTATGGTCTGTCAGAATAAGTGGTAGTGTTGATTTATGTTTTTATGATTCATCTCTTCATATGCTATTTTAATACTCTAAAAGTCTAAAATTATTTTTAACCAATAACTGAATTAGTATTTATTATAAAATTGTCTAGTTGTAAATTGAATTTTGAGTGGTTCCACTGCCAAAACTCAAAGCTGGGTCATAAAATAACTTTAGGTGGTACTGACTATTTCAGACAATATGGTTGAGTTCACGCATATTGCATAACAGTGTCACAACACTAGTAAAAATATTTGTCTCACCTTTACTAATAGAAATAATTATCAATAAAAATGAATTTTAGTTTAGTTCGCTATGCATGCTATTATAATTTTACTTAAAACTATAAACACGTCACTCAAACAAAATTTGTCTGGTGTTGTTAATACTTATAACCTCCCAACTATAATGGAATTAAATATTCATGAGCATTATAGATTATAATAACAAATATGGTGTGCCTTTTGTTATGTTTATATCATGCATATATGCATATATAAAACTAAGGTTTGTGGTATATTTATAACCAATTTACCAACCACATAGCATAAAATTAGAAAAAAAATGTATAATGTTTTCTGGCTTTGTTTTTGCTAAATATATTTTTAAATGCAATTGACTAAAACACTATAAATATTATGAAAGCAAGACACTAAATGATGCTAGGAACTTCAAGATAATATCTGCTGCAGCTAAAGTACTTTGTTCCGATGCTTGGAAAATTGATAAATTGTTTCAGTTTTATGGAATCTTATTGAATTAAAATCCATTAGTAACAATAATAATGGGAACAAAATCGTGTTTATGTTAGCTAATAATGCTATTTTTTGTTTTTTTTTTCATCCTTTTTTTTATTATGAATTCATAATTAATGATTAAGAATTTTTCAACTCCAAAGAAATAAAATCACATATGAGAACCATGGACAGCAGAGCTGCTAGGCCTCCGGCTATTTTATTTACTGGTAATTCTCATCCGGAACTAGCTCGACTTATAGCAGAGTTAGATTGTTGAAAATTAATATTTTAATTTGAAAGTTATATTATCAAACCCGTGCAACAACTGCAATAAGTTCAGGTTTTTCAAGTGCATGATTTTTTGTTCTCAAAATTTTTTATCTAATGCTTAATTTATGATAATTTTTCATTTCCTATATGCCAGTAATTTTTATTTTATAAATTTTGTTTAAAATCGTCAAAATAATTTGGTAGATCTGTAGAAAATAAAAATTTGATGATTTAACGTTTTGCCTCTAAATCAGAGAACCTTGTGTTAAGTACCATGTTATATAGCCACACATCACTACAACGAACTTCTATACAATGAAAATCTCTATATAACAGAGTTTTTTTATGTCCCTTAGAATTTTACATATAAAATTAATAATTAAGTTCCGCGTTATACAGTCAGACCTCCCTACAACGAATTTCTAAAGAAGTGGTAGTTGTCTTACCATCCAAATTTTGTTTACTGGATGTTTTTCAGACACTTGTCATCGAGAAATTTGCGGATTTATTCATTGTTTTTCTCACTGATTTTGTTAATCTATGTTTAAGAGAAGGGACATTTCTAACTAAATGTATACATGCAATTGTTTCAACTGTGTTGAAGAAGTTTGGCTTAGGTAACAATGAACTAAAAAACTTTAGACCTATATCTAAAATTTGTTTAATTTCCAAGATTATTGAGCATGTTGTGATCAATCAACTTTTGAAACATTTATACAAAAACAGTGTAATGCCAATATTTCACTCAGGTTACAAACATCACTCCTCTGCTAAACACTGTTATATTTTTTATCTGAATTATATACTGCTGTTGACAAGCAAAATATTGCTCTGTTAACATTTTTTTTTCAGTGCAGAATTTGATTGCGTTAACCATAAAATTCTAATGGATTGATTATGTTATGACTACGGTGTTTCAGAGATGGCAGCCACTGGGTTCAAGTTATACTTATTTGAAAGAACTCAGCAGGTCTACTTCAAAAAGATATTATGTAATATTGCAGTAATGACATCTGGAGTTATGCAAGGCTCGGTTCTTGGACCCATTATCTTTTTACTGTATATTGCAAAATGATATGATGTTATTAGATAATTCGAATTTTCGTATCACGCTTATGCAGTTGATCAATCGATCAATTTTCGTTTTGCGTCCGGAGATCCAGTTCCTCTGAGGTAGGACGTTTTTTTTTGCCATCAATTTTTAGCGCCAAATTAGACGATCAGTTGTATCGATTTCATTTAAATTTAGAGCTTTCATGTCTTGCTCGATTGTTTGCCACCAGGACTTCTTTGGATGGCCTTTGGGACGTGTGCCAGGTACTTCAACATTTGCAAGAGAAGTTATGGCACTGTTTCCACTTTGTTTGACATGACCAAACCACCGCAGACTGTGTTGCCGGCATTCGTCTTTTATATCATCTAAACCAGCACGACGCAGAATTTCGATAGATTTGATGTGGTCCTTCAGACTAATTCGTTGCATCCATCGGAGCATTTTCATATCGGTTTGTCGAAGTTGCTCCAGTTTGATTGTCATTGGCCATGTTTCTGCACCTATGACAACACCGGACGTATCACAGATTTATAAAGTTTTGATTGTAGTGGTAGTGGGATGTCACGCCGCATCAATATAGAGGCAAGGAGATGCCATTTATTCCAGGCTGCACGTATGCGTGCTCGAACGGCAGCTTCAGCTGTTCCAGTACAATTCTGAGCATTCCCTAGATATTGAAACGATGTGACTTTCTCTACCTTAATGGCTTCAAAAATATTGCTATTGTCATGCTATAGTTCCATTCAGTCGGCATTGAGCAATTTCTCCACACTTCACGGCAAAGTTGTAGTAACGTTTGGATACCTGCAGTACCAGATGCTTTGATAATGTCATTTGTGAGTCCAGAGGGCCCTGCTGCCTGTCCATCCTTCATAGCTTTCACAGTTTCTGTAAGCTCCTCTACAGTGATGTCTGAAATCGGACCTTCGATGGGTGGAGCGTCAAAGTTGACATTGATGGGATTTGATTCGTTTAACAGACGGGTAAAGTATTTTCTCCACTGTAGCTTGATCTCATCTTGTTCAAGAATTATCTCATTTTTATCGTTTTTGATACATGAGGCACCAACTATGTCTTGTTTCGTACGTTTTGCTTGTTTTGCTATACGATACAGAGATTTCATTTGTTCACCTTTGCTTTTTGTGAGCCACTCTCTGCACTGATCTATCTGAGCTTGTGCGACTTGACGTTTTGCATAGTTGTTCTTCTCACGGAAAATTGTATGGTCATCAACAGACTTTGATTTTTGCCATTGCTTGCATGCAGCTTTCTTTTCAGCTATTGCATTTTGTACACTGTCATTCCACCACCAAGTGTCTCCTGAAGGCAGCAGATGTCAATCTTTCTACGCTTGAGCATTTCTGCCATTTCCATTCTTAGCACTCCTTGACCACTTAAGGCCTGCATAAGAATAATTTGGGGGAAAATTTTTACGTCCGGACACTCATCCTGACGACAACCACCAGTTATAAGCGGTGGGCCTAGCCTTTTGCTCAAAAGCACGCAAGGCAGCGTGGATGCAGTTTTATGTCATGCCCGGGACATACGCTTATGCAGTTGACATCCAAATAATAGCAAGTAGTAAACCGGAGCAATTTCAAAGTAATGTGGAAAAACTTATTGAATGTCTGATAAAAGTAGAATTGTGGATGTCGTGCAACGGTCTTAAATTAAATCAAGACAGATCGCAGTTTCTACCTATAAGTACCTGGCAACAATTGTCAAAAAGTAAAATTCTATCAAAATTGGTAATAGTGAAATAGAATTTTGTCGAGAAGCAACTAATTTGGGCTTATTTTCGATTCCAATTTGACATTTAATAATCATAATAATAATTGTTGTCGAAATCATGTTCTTTTCAGCTTCAACAGTTATATCGCATTCGAAAGTTTCTGCATCAATCTACGATACAGACATTAATACATGCATTCATACATTCAAGGTTAGATTACAGTAACAATTTGCTTCATAGATTGCCTGATCGGTCTATTGCTCTTCTCCAGTCTATTCTAAACAGCTGTAAAATTGTTGTCGGTGATGGAAAATTCGCCCATGTGACGCCCATATTGAAGGATCCGCATTGGCTTACAGTGAAAAAAAAAATCATCTATAAAATTTGTATAATGATGTACAAGGCTGTAAATAGGCTCTTGTCAGAATATTTGACAAATAAAATCAAAAAGAAACCATCTCTTTCAACTGGTCTAAAGTTGAGATCTGATTCCAGCAACCTACTTCTGGTGTCATCTACTGATCTGCGGACTGCTTCAAAAGATATCGCTGTGTCGGGACCAGTTGTTTGGAATGGTCTGCCAAATTCACTTAGAATGCTTGGGTTGAAAATTGATGACTTTAAAAAGAATCTGAAACCACATTTATTTTCGTTATAGATGATATCTATTAATTTGAAATGATTAGACCATTCATTTGTTATATTATTTTACTGTTATGGATAATGTTTTTGAGAAATTTTTTGTTTTTTAGACGCTTTTTAAATTTGTGATAATAATAATAATAATTATTATTATAAGAAAACAACCTCTTAATCATTTATATTTATATAATAAAGTAATAATACTTAGCAAAATTACAAGAACATAAAAAATAACGTGATATTTATGTATTTACAGTAATGCAAGATGTAACTTACAGTTTACTATGTTCAACAATTAAAAAATTGTCTGATGTCACCTTGAACTAGACGTAACTGATAATTTTCCTGAAAAATTCAAAATTTCAAAAATAATTCCAGTATTTAAAAAAGGCAAACCTGAGTTGGCTGGAAACTACAGACCAATTTCTTTGCTTTTACAATTTTCAAAAATATTAGGAAAAGTTGTCAGTCACAGAATGATCCTGTTTATCATCAGATGCAATATCCTCAGCGATAAACAGTACGGATTTAGGAAAATTCATTCAACTGAGCATGCTATGCTCGAGTTTAACCAAAGAATATTAGATAGTATTGAAAAGAAAGAAATGTCTTTTGGCATATTCATCGACTTGTCCAAAGCGTTTGATACGATAAATCATGATCTACTTCTGAAAAAATTGCATCATTAAGCTGAAAAAATTGCATCATTAAGGTTTTCGAGATAAAGTTCATAACTGGTTGACATGTTATCTCTCAAATAGAACTCAATACGTTTATCTAAATAATTTAAATTCAAATACTTTTCCAACCTCATATAGTGTTCCCCAAGGTTCGATCCTCGGACCTCTTCTGCCTATGTTATTCATCAATGATCTACCGAAGTTTCATCTATCTTCAACTGCATTCTTTTTGCAGATGACACTAATATTTTTTACTTTTCAAGTGATTTAAACCGGGACAACATCTTGATAAGTCGAGAGTTAAAAAAGTTCGAAAATTGGTTCAAAACAAAGAGGTTAACAGTTAACATTGGAAAATGTTCCTATGCTATCTTGGGTCCGAAAATTGTGACGAAAAATGTAAATCCTAACCTGTGTTTGAACAATAATATTATTAACCAAGTTAATTCAATTAAATTTTTAGGTATTCACTTACAGAGTAATTTATCTTGGGTTAGTCATATCACTTTTGTAACTTGGAAAATAAATCAGTTCCTTGGTATTCTGTATAAGTTGAAGCATAAATTGACTGCGTCAATCTTAAAGACTTTATATAATTGTTTCATTTAATCTATTTGTTTTATGGTATCATAATATGGGGCAATGGTCCTGCGTATTTAATAAATCAAATTTTGATAACACAAAAAATATGTAAGATTATTATTAAATTTAAATTATAATTCTCATGTGCAACTTGTTTGGTTCGGTAAAATTATATATAAATACTTCTCTGCAATTTTTCCTTTACATTATTAATGACTTGCTACCATCTTTTTTTAAAAATTGTCTGTATTTAGAAAGCAACATAAAAAATAGAGTTACAAGACAACATACTTTTTATATTTACCCAACAAGACTAAAACTGCTACAGGTAAGTCTGTTTCACTATGGTCTCAAGGTTTGGAATGAAATAATTCCAAATGACATTAAAATTATGATTTATTACTTTTTAAAAAACGCTTGAAGATTTTTAAGTTGATCCTGTATCATGACTTGTTTTTCTTTTTTCTGATTGTCAATGGCGTCTATTTTGTATATTAACGTTTAATTTGTACAATATAGCTTCATTTACTTTAAATATTTTATATCTGTGGCAACATTCATGTTTTGTTTTCAATTTTGTGAATTTTAGTTCATAGGGTGGCAGTACTTGGTGAGCTAGTTATAGCTCAAACAATAACTATTTTTAATGCATACGCACCACAGACAGGCGATTCAGAAGAGATGAAAATTACTTCTGGACTGCGTTCACTGATACTATCTCAACAATACCAAAATCTGAAACAATCCTGATTGGAGGCAATCTCAATGGCTACGTTGGAGAGAAAACAAATGGTTTTGACAACGTGCATGGCGGTTTTGGCTATGGAGAACGGAATGAAGATGGCAACCGCATCCTGGAGTTTGTTGAAAGTAACGGGTTTTGTTTACTGAAAACATATTTTAGAAAGAGGTTGGAACATCTCATAACATACAAAAGTGGACCATCAGCCACACAAATTGATCTCTTCGCTGTCAAGCAACAACACCAAAGGCTATTCAAAAATGTCAAAGTTATACCTGGCGAATCATGTGCCGCCCAACATAGACTCCTTGTGGGAGACCTGGTTGTCAAACTGTCACAACATAAGTCTAAACAAATGCCTCGGAGAATCAAAACGTGGATGCTGAAAAGCAATATTCATCGAGAAAAATTTTAACAGATTGTCGCCATACAGTTAGACAACCAATTGCAAGCCAGTACAGATTGGAGTACATACAAAACCGTTTTGATAAACGCTGCAACTACTGTTTGTGGGAAAACAGGTACAAAACGTCTGCATGAACGGGACACTTGGTGGTGGAATGACAGTGTACAAAATGCAATAGCTGAAAAGAAAGCTGCATACAAGCAATGGCAAAAAGTCTGTTGATGATTATAAAATTTTTTGTGAGAAGAACAACTATGCAAGACGTCAAGTCGCACTGGCTCGGACAGATCAGTGCAGAGAGTGGCTTACTAAAAGCAAAAGTGAACAAATGAAATGTCTGTTATCGTATAGCAAAACAACCAAAGCGTACGAAAAAAGACATAGTTGGTGCCTCATGTATCAAAAACGACAAAAATGAGATGGTTCTTGAACAAGATGAGATCAAGCTACAGTGGAGAAAATACTTCAACGGTCTGTTAAATGAAACAAATCCTATCAATGTCAACTTTGACGCTCCACCCATCGAAGGTCCGATTTCAGACATCACTGTAGAGGAGCTTACAGAAACTGTGAAAGCTATGAAGGATGGACAGGCAGCAGGGCTCTCTGGACTCACAAATGACATTATCATTACCGAAATCCTGCGTCGTGCTGGCTTAGATGATATAAAAGACGAATGCCGGCAACACCGTCTGCGGTGGTTTGGTCATGTCAAACGAAGTGGAAACAGTGCCATAACTTCTCTTGCAGATGTTGAAGTACCTGGTACACGGCCCAAAGGCCGTCCGAAGAAGTCCTGGTCGCAAACAATCGAGCAAGATAGGGAAGCTCTAAATTTAAATGAAATGAATACAACTGATCGCATAATTTTGCGCAAAAAATTTTTGGCAAATAAAACAACGTCCTACCTCGAGGGAACTGTGTCTCTGGACGCTAAACGAAGATTGATTGATTGATTATAGTTCGTTACGGTCTCCAGCTTGTTTGGCAAATAAACGAAATTAATAGATTTCATTTAAATGATCAAATGTTTGGGTATATGTGCACATTAATATTAAGTAATTTAACTTAATTTTGCATTATATAGTTGCATTTTCGGGGATGTTTGTACGTTATTATATGCTTGGTATGTTGTACACATTTTACTTAATTGTATATATTGTATAGTTGATTAATTATACTGCTTTTTTTCTTGTTTGGGGCGTAGGAACGTTTAGTTTGCGCTCTTTAATAATAAATTATTTATATTATATTAAAACAAAAAAATTAATACTTTTTATTTTTGCTTGTGATGATTAATTAATTATGATAATTTACTACAAACCTATTTAAAATCATAGTGGTGTACAATATTAAATTTTTATAGAAAACTTGGAGTTAGAATTGGTGGCGCTAAAATTCATCAAGCAGTTAACAGAGGTTAATTTGATTCCAAACTTTGTTAATTTTTTTATTTTGGATAAGTTTTTTCTTTTTATGTTTTTTTAAAACATTTTTATCCCCAAACTTATCTTGACAGATTGAATAAAGGTTTTTTTATTATTCACAGTACTAAAAGAGTTATAAATTAATGACGTGTTTTTGAACAAACACGCTATTTTCCCTTCATGGCCTTCTGCAGTGGTTTTCTGGATTTTGAATCAAAATAAGTCTATCTGCAGGATGAATTTGGATGATAATAATAATATTTTTAATAATTTGAACAACTTCCAGAAAAAAAGGAAGAAAAATTGAAAACCAAACTTTGAATCGATTAATGCCAACAATTCAGTAGAATTCATACAATATTGTAAATATATGGTCTCCTTCAAACATATAACATGAATATATATATATATGAATATATATATATATATATATATTTATTTATGTATGTATATGTTTCCATTTTACATTTAAAATAACTGCAAATCAGGATAGATTTAGTATTAGAGACCAAGATTTTACAGCAACTAGATTAGAAACATATTTAATACCCTCATGTAGCTTTTAACAGTTATAGAAATTGACTGCATCTTAGTAAGAAACTCAAAATTGATTTATATAATTAGATTTGAATTTTAAATTTGCAGAAACTTTAGTTGACATCGATGAATCTATAAGAGGAAAAGATGTTTATATTATTCAAACTGGAACAAAGTTTGTGTAGTTGTATGTTGTTCAGCAATTTCAAATTAATGTGATTTATTTAATAGTTTTTAATAACACTCTGCTGTTCAATGTGGCAGTAGCTTCAGCATTCTTGTTTTAATAGCTGTATTCATTTTAATACAATTGCTATAAAATTATGCAAAAAATGTGCTTAGAGGCAAAAGAGAAATGGCTATATTTTGAGTGCGAAATCATTGAAAAGATCAAAAACAATAAAAATGCAGCTTTTAAAAACATCAAAGAAATTACTGGAAAAAGGACTTGTACCTTTTTTGAATGCATAAAAGCTAAATCCGGTAAAGTAATTTTTGAGAAAGAATAAGTACTTGTAATATGGGCTAAATACATTAACGATCTTTTCTATGTTGTCCGTAGTGAAAAGCCTTCTTTTAAAAAAACGTAGAAATACTAAAGATTTTTAGATCTGGAGTTTGTGTCGCCCAATGAAAATAAACTTAGACAAAGCAACAGGCCCGGATGATATAGTTGTCGACGAAGTTAAATGCTTTGATAAATTGGCGTTATAAAAGTGACAGATATCTAAATGAGATATATAACAGCGGCGAAATTCAGAAATTCATGAAGAAGTCAATATTTATTGCATTACCTAAAAAACCTAATGCACCCGAATGTAAACTACATCAAACAACCATCTTGATGCTTTATTAATACAAAACATCTTTTGAGAATTCTGATGCTGAGAACACGAAGATCTAAAATTTCAAATGTTCTATGTGGTTTTTTCGAGAATTGTGACACAAGAAATCTTCAAACTTTTTCTGTATATGATAAAAATAAATAAAAAAAGTAGTTAAAAACTTTTTTATATTAATAAGTTAAAAAACGATAATAAAAATACAAGACGAAATATTAAAAAATTGAACCAGAAACTGTTCAAAGCTGAAAACGAAATGACATTTCTTAACATTTATATATCAACCTTCGTTTACGTCCAGAGACTCGTTTCTCCGAGGTAGGACGTTGTTTTCTTTGCCATCAACTTTTTGCCCCAAATTAGACGATCAGTTGTATCTATTTCATTTAAATTTAGAGCTTTCATGTCTTGCTCGATTGTTTGCGACCAGGACTTTTTTGGACGGCCTTTGGGACGTGTGCCAGGTACTTCAACATCTGCAAGAGAAGTTATGGCACTGCTTCCACTTCGTTTGACATGACCAAACCACCGCAGACGGTGCTGCCGGCATTCATCCTTTATATCATCTAAACCAGCACGACGCAAGATTTCGGTTGATTTGATGTGGTCCTTCAGACTAATTCGTTGCATCCATCGGAGCATATTCATGTCGGTTGGTTGAAGTTGTTCTTCCAGTTTGGTTGTCATTGGCCATGTTTCTGCACCATATAACAAGACCGGACGTATCACAGATTTATAAAGTCTTGATCGTAGTGGGATGTCACGCCGCATCAATATAGAGGCAAGGAGATGCCATTTATTCCAGGCTGCACGTATGCGTGCTCGAACGGCAGCTTCAGCTGTTCCAGTACAATTCTGAGCATTCCCTAGATATTGAAACGATGTGACTTTCTCTACCTTAATGTTTCAAAAACAGTGCTATTTCGAATTTGTTGTTGTGGATTGATGCAAGCAGGACAAATTGGACACTTTAGATAAAGTACCAATTATTTTTGAACAACGTTTGTGACACCACTGGCTACACTGCTGACACTTGATTGAATTGTTACCTACACCAGCTTTACAAACTGAATAGGGCCATTATCCAGTAGCTGTGGTGGATTGGATGGGTTCACCAGTGTTCGTTGCTCTGGTTTTGCTAATGTTGACTTTGAATCCATGATCGGCGAGTCTGGTGTTCCAATCTTCAAACATCTGTGCTGCATTCTGCTCAGACATGGCTGTTAAAACGATATCATCAGCATATACTAGATTCCAAATGTCACCAGTGCGTATCGGTTTTGTGATTTCTTCTATCACAGTTATAAATAACAGTGGACTGAGAATCAAGCCTTGGTGATCTGCAACGCCGATGTCAAATGCATCTGTGTTTCCAACCGTTGTGCTGACGAGAGTTTTAGTATTCGTATACATTTCCATCACAAGTCGAACAAGATATTCTGGAATGAGTTGTCGACGTAGACTCCAACTGGTTGCTTCACGGGGAACTGGATCAAATGCTTTTTGAAGGTCTACAAAAATGTGTGATAGTTGTTGATGCTTTGCGAAGTACTTCTCTTGCAGTTGCCGAAGGATGTGAATTGCATCAACTGTTGATTTCCCCGCTAGGAAACCAAATTGATAATTTCCGATTGTGATGCACGACGTTAATCTTCTCTCAATGATTTTCTCGACAATTTTCAGGGAGTGTTCTAACAGACATATACCCGATACGATGGACAGTTCAATGGATCACCTTTGCCTTTGTATAGCGGGACTGTCATGCTATAGTTCCATTCAGTCGGCATTGAGCAATGTCTCCAAATTTCACGGCAAAGTTGTAGTAACGTTTGGATACCTGCAGTACCAGATGCTTTGATAATGTCATTTGTGAGTCCAGAGGGCCTTGCTGCCTTTCCATCCTTCATGGCTTTCAGTGCTTCTTTAAGCTCCTCTACAGTGATGTCTGGAATCGGACCTTCGATGGGTGGAGCGTCAAAGTTAACATTAATGGGATTTGATTCGTTTAACAGACGGGTAAAGTATTCTCTCCACTCAGGCTTGATCTCATCTTGTTCAAGAATTATCTCATTTTTATCGTTTTTGATACATGAGGCACCAACTATGTCTTTTTTCGTACGCATTGCTTGTTTTGCTATATGATACAGAGATTTCATTTGTTCACCTTTGCTTTTAGTGAGCACTGATCTGTCCGTGTCTGTGCAACTTGACTTCTTGCATAGTTGTTCTTCACACGGAAAATTATATTAATAGCCTTCGGTGTTGTTGCTTGACAACAAAGAAATCAATTTGCGTGGCTGATGGTCCACTTTTGTATGTTATGAGACGTTCCAACCTCTTTCTAAAATATGTGTTCTGTAAACAAAACCCATGACTTTCAGCAAACTCAAGGATGCGGTTGCCATCTTCATTCCGTTCTCCATAGCCAAAATCGTCATGTACGTTGTCAAAACTATCTGTTTTCTCTTCAACGTGGCTATTGAGATCGCCTCCAATCAGGATTGTTTCAGATTTTGGTATTGTTGAGATGTTGTCAGAGAATTCAGCCCTGAAGTCATTTTTCATCTCTTCTGATTCGCCTGTCTGTGGGATGCGTATGCAGAAAAAATAATCATTGTTTGCTTTTCTATGCGAAGCTTGATCCCTATGAGACGTGAATTAATCCTTTTAATATCCAGTACTTCTTGGGCTAGCGGTCCTCTGACAAAAATTCCAACACCTTTTGACCATTCTAGAATAGTTTATATTTTTCTTTGTCTGAGTTGACATGACAGACACCATTCGATTTCCATCGGGTTTCCTGATGGCAGCAGATGGCAATCCTTCTACTCTCGAGCATTTCTGCGATTTCCATGCTGCGGCCAGTCAGTGATCCAACATTGAGCGTTCCAAGTCTAAGTACCATAGAGGGGCGATTCTGAATTTTTTTGCAACATCCCTCCGATATTGCATACTTCCCAGTGATTCTTGGCACCCCTTGACCACTAAAGGCCCGGTGGACTAGGGGCCGTTGTTTTTCTTTGTGATGGCATAAGAGTAATTTGGGGAAAAGTTTTTACATCCGGACACCCATCCTGACGACAACCACCAGTTATAAGCGGTGGGCCTAGCCTTTTGCTCAAAAGCACGCAAGGCAGCGTGGATGCAGTTTTATGTCATGCCCAGGGCCATTAACAATTATATATATATACACACACACACACACATATATATATATATATATCAAATGTCAAATATATATATTATATATATGTTGGTAATAGACCATAGTTTTTATAATATTCTATAAATTCTACCGAATGTTTGGCGTTAAAAAGTTTATAGTTCGTTTTTTTCGATTTTTCTCACTAATGTTTTTTGGAGAACGTTTAGTTTATTAAAATTCAAAAATAAACTTATTTTTCGAATTCATGAAAATAATATATATATATATATATATGTATATTAGATAGATTTATATAGCGCTCTTTCATCAAATCTCAAAGGCGCTGAAACAAATCACATGAAAACAACAATCAAAGCGCTCATTGCATAAACAGAAACGTTTTTAGATCCCTCCTGAAGGATAACATTTAATGCCCCGAAGCATGCAGTTCCAAAGGCAGGCTATTCCATACAGATGGCCCAACAATTGAAAAATTTCTTAAAATCAGACACATACAACAAGAACAGCAACGGACCCAACACAGATCCCTGTGGAACACCAAACGACAATCTCTCAACATCAGATACTTCACCACTAAACAAAAATTGCTGAGTACGATCACACAAGTAAGATTTCAACCAAGAAAGGATGATATATATATATGCACATTGCACAGTGACTGATGCTGACATTAGCAAGGTACTGCTGATGACTACTGTACTTACTTACTGTATACATATATATATATATATATCAATCAATCAATCTTCGTTTTGCGTCCAGAGACCCGGTTTCCCGAGGTAGGACGTATATATATATATATATATATATATATATATATATATATATATATATATATATATAAAATTAGAATTAAATTTATTCATGTATTTCTGTGTTTGAAGTACACTGATGATGAAAAGGCTTTTCTGTAGTAATGTCGTTATTAATAATGTTTTGTCAAAAATGTCAAACATTAAAAGTTTTTTATTTAACCTTAATAAACTTCATCAAGATGATAAAAGTCTCGTTAGAAAAATTGACTCAACTACAAGTTGAATAATGCCAAAAATGCAGTGATCTTTATAAATAATTGTATTTATGATAGTCTAAACCCAATATATATATATATATATATATATATATATATATATATATATATATATATATATATATATATATATATAT